AAAATATATATATTTTTTTTTTAAAAAAAAAAAAAAAAAAAAAAAAAAAAAAAAAAAAAAAAAAAAAAAAAAAAAAAAAAAAAAAAAAAAAAATCCTGGCGAAAGACCCAACCATACGCAATTGTGAATAACGCTTTGTGGGTGCCGCTTTCGGTGGGGCTCCTTATGGGGCCACGAAAGGCGTGCCACGAAACGCTGTCCTGGGCGTACGGGACGCATAAGGGCGGTAGCACTGGGGCCTTCGGTGGAGCTCCCTATGGGGCCACGAAACGTGTGAGGGGTGTGCCGAAATGGGCGCGGCGTCGCCATGCCAACGCAACCACTGGGGCCTTCGGTGGAGCTCCCTATGGGACCACGAAGCGTGTGAGGGGTGTGCCGAAATGGGTGCGGCGCCGCCATGCCAACGCAGCCACTGGGGCCCTCGGTGGAGCTCCATATGGGGCCACGAAACGTGTGAGGGGTGTGCCGACATGGGTGCGGTGCCGCCATGCGGACGCAGCCACTGGGGCCCTCGGTGGAGCTCCCTATGGGGCCACGAAACGTGTGAGGGGTGTGCCGAAATGGGTGCGGTGCCGCCATGCGGACGCAGCCACTGGGGCCCTTCGGTGGGGCTCCCTATGGGGCCACGAAACGTGTGAGGGGTGTGCCGAAATGGGTGCGGTGCCGCCATGCGGACGCAACCACTGGGGCCCTCGGTGGAGCTCCCTATGGGGCCACGAAACGTGTGAGGGGTGTGCCGAAATGGGTGCGGTGCCGCCATGCGGACGCAGCCACTGGGGCCCTTCGGTGGGGCTCCCTATGGGGCCACGAAGCGTGTGAGGGGTGGGAGGAGGGAGGAGGGAGGAGGCGGAGGAGAAGGAAGGAAGGAAGGAAGGAGAGGAGACGCGGGGCACCGTGTCTTCAAAACGAGGACCCAACACCACAGGATGGTTGGGAAAAAAATCCACGATTTTGGCTTGTCGCGGCTCTCTTGGGAGGCCTCTTGGGATGCCTTCGGGGCCTCATGGAGCTCTCTTGGAACGTCTTCGGGGCTTCCTGGTCATTCCTGAGGCTATCTATACGCGTCTTGGAGCGCTCGCGGGCCGTTTTCGGCGGTCTCGATCTGTCCCTGGCGGTCCCAGGGGCCCTCCGGGACGCTTCGGACGCTCCCGGGCGCGCCCTGCACCCCCCATGGAGATTACAGGCACCGCCCCGGGCCGCCCCCGGGCCCGACTCCGATATGTGTGTATATGTATGTGTATATATATATACACACATATACATATATACATATATACATGTGTATATATATATATATGGAAACATACGTAAGACATGTAGGATTGTGTACACAGGAGAAGGACAATCTATAGAAACATACGTACGTCGTCCAAGGCGCCTCGGAAGGCGCCTCGGAAGGCCCAGAATACTCCTCCAAGGCGCGGAATCATGTTCCCGGACCGCCTTCCGGGAACATGACGGGGACGACCTCCTGAGGGCCTCCAGTGGGCCTCTTGGGGGCCTCTCGGAGGCCTGCGGGGCTCTCCTGGAAACGTCTTGGGGCGCGCTCAGGGCAATTTTTGGGAGTCTTTGGGGCCTCTCGGGGGCCTCGAGGGAGGCTCTTGGGGGCCTCTTTGGGGCCTCTTGGGGCCTCGCGGGGTCCGCTTGGGGCCCGCTGGGCTCGCTTAGGCAGTCTTGAAGCCCTGTCGGGGCTTTCCTGGAACCGTCTTGGGCGGCTCCTGGGCCATCTTGGGGCTCTCCTGGGCCGTCTTGGGATGATTTTGGGGGTCTTTTGGGCCGTCTTGGGTCGGTCTTTGGGGCCTCTTCGGCCGTCTTGGAGCGTTTTTGGGAGACTCTTGGACGGCCTATATATATATATATATATATACATACATACATACATACATACAGACAGACAGACAGACAGACAGACAGACATACATACATTCATACATTCATACATTCATACATTCATACATTCATACATTCATGCATTCATACATTCATACATTCATATATGCATACATTCATACATTCATACATTCATACATACATTCATACATACATACATACATACATACATATACACACATATATATACCTACATACATATATATATATGGAAGAAATTGAAATACGTGGAAGGAAGTGGCACGACTCGGGAGGGCTTGGGGGAGGGGCCTATACATATATACATATACATACATACACACATACACACACATACATACACATATACATACATACACATATACAAATATTTATATATAGAAACATACGTAAGACATGTAGGATTGCGTACACAGGAGAAGGACAATCTATAGAAACATACGTACGTCGTCCAAGGCGCCTCGGAAGGCGCCTCGGAAAGCGCAGAATACTCCTCCAAGGCGCGGAAGCATGTTCCCGGACCGCCTTCCGGGAACATGATGGGGACGACCTCCTGAGGGCCTCCAGTGGGTCTCTTATACATATATATAGTAACATACGTAAGACATGTAGGATTGTGCACACAGGACATGGACAATCTATAGAAACATACGTACGTCGTCCAAGGCGCCTCGGAAGGCGCCTCGGAAAGCGCAGAGTACTCCTCCAAGGCGCGGAATCATGTTCCCGGACCGCCTTCCGGGAACATGATGGGGACGACCTCCTGAGGGCCTCCAGTGGGCCTCTTGGGGGCCTCTCGGAGGCCTGTTGGGCTCTCCTGGAGGCGTCTTGGGGCGCGTATGTATGTATGTATGTATGTATATGTATATATGTATGTATGTATGTATATATATGTATATATCTATATATATGTGTATGTATATTTCTAAATATATATATATATATATATATAGGGAAGAAATTGAAATACGTGGAAGGAAGTGGCACGACTCGGGAGGGCTTGGGGGAAGGGGTATATATACATATATATATATATATATAATATATATATATAACATACGTATAGACATATACATAGGATATGTGTACACAGGAGATGGACAATCTATAGAAACATACGTACGTCGTCCAGGGCGCCTCGGAAGGCGCCTCGGAAAGCGCAGAATACTCCTCCAAGGCGCGGAATCATGTTCCCGGACCGCCTTCCGGGAACATGATGGGGATGACCTCCTGAGGGCCTCCAGTGAGCCTCTTGGGGGTCTCTCGGAGGCCTGTTGGGCTCTCCTGGAGGCGTCTTGGGGCGCGCTCAGGGCCATTTTTGGGCAGTCTTGGGGGCCTCTGGGGGCCTCCGGGGAGGCTCTTGGGGGCCTCTTTGGGGCCTCTTGGGGCCTCGCGGGGCCCTCTTGGGGACCGCTGGGCTCGCTTAGGCAGTCTTGAAGCCCTGTCGGGGCTCTCCTGGATCCGTCTTGGGCGGCTCCTGGGCCATCTTGGGGCTCTCCTGGGCCGTCTTGGGACGATTTTGGGGGTCTCTTGGGCCGTCTTGGGGCGGTCTTGGGGGCCTTTTTCGGCCGTCTTGGAGCGGTTTTGGGAGACTCTTGGACGGTCTTGGAGCGTCGGAACTCCGAAAAAGCGAGAAGGCCAAAGACCTCGAAAAAAAAAACCATTAAAAATCAACAATTTTGGCTTGTCGGGGCTCTCTTGGGAGGCCTCTTGGGATGCCTTCGGGGCCTCATGGAGCTCTCTTGGAACGTCTTCGGGCCTTCCTGGCCATTCCTGAGGCTATGTATGCGCGTCTTGGAGCGCTCGCGTGCCGTCTTGGGCGGTCTCGAACTGTTCCTGGCGGTCCCAGGGGCCCTCCGGGACGCTTCGGACGCTCCCGGGGGCGCCCTGCACACCCCATGGAGATGACAGGCACCGCCCCGGGGCCCTACTCCGATATATCTATATATATATATATATATATAAGAACATAAGTAAAACAGCTAGGATTGCTTACACAGGAAAAGACAACATATAGAAGCATAGGTATCATCAAGGATTCGTGCTCCAGGTGAAGCCCAATATATCGGAGCATACGTAAAACGCATGGGGTTGGAGCCACTCATGTTGCCTTCGGAGGCCTCCTGCTCCTGGGGCCTCTCGGGGCCTCCTGTTGCCTTCCGATGCCTCCTGGCGCTTCCTCTGGCCTCCTGGGGCCTTCTGTGGCTTTCTGAGGCCTCCTGCAGTTTCCTGTGGCCTCCTGGAGCCTCTTGGGTCTTGGGGCATCCTGTGGCTTCTTGAGTCTTTGTGTTGCCTCCTGATGCCTCCTGGGGCCTCATGTTGCCTCCTGGGGCCTCCTGGAGCCTGTTTGAGCCTCCTGTGGCATGATGAGGAGAATCCGTGCCCACGAGTTTGGCCACCAAAACAAGCAAACCGATCGAGACATTTTCAAAGCCTGGCCCACCTGGGGGTTGGAAATGAGCGCATCGCTCGAGACATCCTCCAAATCTGCTCCGAAGGCGAAGGATGTTGAGACAGAAAACGAGCAACCCGCTTGAGACATCCCCACAAAACAGCCGCGAACGGGACCGTGAAAACACCCTTGGCGGCTCCCCGGGGTGCTGAAACCAGCGCCCCGCCTGAGACATCCTTAAAATATGCTCTGATAGCCAAGGGTGGTGAGACAGAAAACAAGCAGACCGCCCGAGACGTCCCCACCAAAATTGCTGCGAACGAGACCGTGGAAACACCCCTGGCGGCTAGCAAACCGCTTGCGGCATCCCCACAAAATGGCTGCGAACGGGACAATGGAAACACCGCTGGCGGTTCCCCCTGGGGGTGCTGGAACCAGCGCCCCGCCTGGGACATCCTCAGAATCTGCTCTGATCGCCAAGGATGTTGAAACAAAAAACAAGCAAACCGCTTGAGACATCCCAACAAAATTGCTCCGAACGGGACCGTGAAAAGCACCCCTGGTGGCTCCCCTCGGGGGTGCTGAAACCAACGCCCCGCCTGAGACATCCTCCGAATCTGGTATGACAGCCAAGGATGTCGAGACAGAAAACAAGCAAACCGCCTGAGACATCCCCACAAAATTGCTGCGAACGGGACCGTGGAAACACCTCTGGCGGCTCCCCTTGGAGGTGTTGAAGCCATCTCCCCGCCTGAAACATTTGTTTTGGTTTTCCCCCCCGGACGCTCCGGAACCCTCTGACTGCCTCGAGGCCAAACCGCCCCCCACAAACATCTGAGAATCCGCCACCCCGCACGGGGTAATGAGCGAAGGCGAGAGCACCATAGATGAGGCACTAGATAGACCCCGAGGAGGACCACGAGCGCACCGAAGAAGCAGAGAACCGCGGCGATCATGAGCCTCAAGAGGAACCGTCAATGATCACCCAAGACTCTGTGCCGGACGAAGAAGAACGCTATGATCAAAAATGAAGGCCACCAACGCGAGTAAGTAAGAGAAGAGCATAGCGACCATGAGCCTCGCAAGTATCCGTCAATGATCACAAGCACGACCACTTCACATACCGAACGGTGATCGAAAAATGATGCAGTCATTTCACCACAAGACATGGCCAAGAACATGAGCCTCCAAGAGTATCCGTCAATGTAAACAGCCAATAAACAGTAATAAAGAGCTCCAAAGTTGAACGACAACTTGAATGACAACACAAGGACTATGAGAAACGAGAGCCAGGCCAGTCACCGCCGCAGCGCCTCCGGCGCGCCTCCACCTCAGCGGAGGGATATGCCATCGACGGTGCCAAGTGACCCGCAGCCAGGCCTCGACGAAAAAACCTCATGCCTGAATACGAGGAAGCTGCGCCCTCGCCAAACAATCTAACATGCAATGTGGCCGGGCCACCCAAAAAATATCATGCACGAGGCCGGTGGTCAAGCGGATGCCGTAGCGCAGGCAAGCCCCGTTGAGGAGGTGGAGAGCTGCGCTGAGCCCGAGGAGGCGATGAGCGCTTCCAACTTGTCCGCAGCAGCTGCGTGGGCGGCCCCTTGAGCGATGAGCTTCCGGTCCCTGCGGGCCCCCCCTCGCGCCTGAAGGCGCTTGGCCTCCTGGTCCAGCCTCGGAACGATCTCCTGCATGCTGAGCCTGTCCACCTCGTTCCATCTGCGCACCTTGAACAGCACAGACATGTACTCCGTGCTGAACTGGGTCATAGCCGGAGTCGGCCCCGCCGGGCCCGCCCGCGCAGCGGTGAAACTGACGGGCTTGGATCTGCCATCCTGTCCCCTCGCGGGGCCGAGCCCGCAGCTGGGTTGGGCGTCGGCGGGGGGGCCGGGCTGGCAGCCAGGCCGGGCGGCGGGCTGGGCGCCTCCAGGGGCGCCGGGCTGGCAGCCAGGCTGGGCGCCGGCCGCGCTGCTCGGCAGGGCGCCGGCGAGGGAGGCGTGTTGGTAGCCAGGCAGGGCGGGCTGGGCGCCGCCAGGGGCGCCGGGCTGGGCGCCTCCAGGGGCGCCTGGCTGGCAGCCAGGCAGGGCGCCGGCCGCGCCGCTAGGCAAGGCGCCGGCGAGGGAGCCGGGCTGGCATCCTGAGACATCCTGAGACATCCTGACAATCTGCTGTGTGCCGAATAAGTCAGACAATGAGAAGGTCTGAGTATGAGTTGGTCTGAGTAGGAGTAAGTCTGTGTATGAGTACGTCTGGGAACGAGTCTGAGTATGAGTAAGTCTGGGTATGAGTGAGTCTCAGCATGAGCAAGTCCGAGTATGAGTGAGTCTAAGTATGAGTAGGTCTGAGTAACAGTATGAGGAAGTCTGGATAGGAGTATATCTGAGCATGAGTAAGTCCAAAGGGGAGGAAACACGCTGTACCGCAAAGAATGTACACGAGGACGAGTGGGAGTGGGTATGACTATGACTGGGTATGGATTTGAGTGGGTGTGAGCGTACTGCGTCATGAAGAAGCCTGAGTATGATTAGGTCTGGGTATGAGTAAGTCTGTGTATGAGTAAGTCTGGGTATGAGGAGAATGAGGAGGAGGAGAAGAAGAGGAGGAAGGAGTAGGAGGCGTCCAAGTAATAACAAGAACCCCATCTTAGGATATGGGGAATATATACACAAATCCCAGGATTTCCCACCTTTTCCCATATTGTCTGGGTTTTCGTCTTCCCCCTACTTCCCATGTGTTCCTACATGTTCCTGGGGGTCGACGATGAATTGTGTCTCTGTGTTTTTCCCCTCCTCAACTTTTCGCGATAGGAGCCATTACGGGCAAGTAACATCACGATTCGTGCTGACGTCCTGGCTGTATTTGGTTCTTCCCAGGCGTCCGTCCCCAGACGGCGCCAGCACGGAATGCGACGCGAAGGGCACCCCTCACCCTCGCCCCCCCCAGCTAAAGGCCCGCTATCGCCCGCGAGCAAAAAACGCTCTCCCATTGTGGATCGAGCACGACACTGCTGCGGATGATGCGAAAAAGCGTAAGTGCGTGAGCACAAAGACGACAGCGACACGACCTGCGGGTTTGACCACCAGGCCAAGGGCTACCGGGATTGCGAGCGACAGCAGAGACGAGTGCCACAGAACGAAGGTGGCCTCGAAGGCACAAATAGGATGAGCACGAACACGCGCTCTCGGACTGTCCGGAGTGAGCTGCCCAAGGCGCAGCCTCGTCTTGCCTGCCTCCTCCTCTTCCTCCTCCTCCCACGGTCGTCATACGACGTGCCATAAAGTAGGGCCCCAACCACAAGAAACCTTCCACAAGCAACCCAACCCTGAGACCCCAGGGCGTCCATGGATTTTTGGCGTGGGAACGTCACGCATTCCATCGCAAAACCATCGGAACCCAAGAAACCTGGAGGCAAGCAGGGTGTCTCTTGGCATGGGCCCCCATCATGCGACGTACCACAAGGAGCGCCAAGAAGGAACGACTGGGCCCTTCTGTTAGGTCGGGCATGTCCTCCTACAGGGGGGTGTCGAGCGAAACATGAAAGATACCCTCCGAATGCGCAAACTTAGCAAACAAATGCTCAAAACATCGCCCCTCCTGTAGAGGGGCACGTCCGACATACCCTTTTCTGGCCACGGCGCGCCTCGGTCACGGAGCGGTTCCCGACCTGGATCTGGGCAACGGCCCTGAGCCCAAAGTGCCCCTTCGTGGCAGCATCTCGGCCAGTGCCGCCTCGCTCGGCGGCGGGAACTCGCGATTTCCCCTGGGAACGGGACCCGTCGCTAATACACGCCCCCCTAATCCATGTTTGCGATCGCCTGACTTTATTACTTCAGCGCCGTTTACTCAGAAACGTCTCTCTTGACTGTCCAAGGAAACTGCCTTAACGGTTCCTGACACAGAACTCTGAGTTTCTTGAAAGTTATTAAGAAACCCGGAGTACCTACAGTGGAGGCCAGTCCACTAGAAACCTTCCACAAGAGACGCAGCCTTGAGATCCCAGGACGTCCATGGATTTCTGCTGCGGGAGAATCACGCGTTCCATGGCGAAACGGTCGAAATCCAAGAAGCCCAGGGCACCCTGGAGACAAGGAGTGTTTCTTGGCATGGGCCTCCACTGTACTTGAATGTGCCTGATCCCTCCTCCCATCACTGCCGCGGCCGCTGGCTGCTTGCCACCCGCAGTCCCAGGCGGCACTGGCAAAGGGCGCTTGGCGGTCGACTTTGTCCGGGGTCGGCCTGGAGACGGGCCGAGCTGAGGATAGCGGCGGGACTGCGAAGGGAGACGGGCACATCGATGCACGCCCGAGAGACCAGAAGGAACGGGTCTTACGCACGATGACTTAGCGACCTTATGCGGTGGCCAACGCGGCATGCGAGATTGGCAACGACGGCGCAAACGCGCCATTTTACGCGGGCGCCTTAAGCGCGAAGGTCAACGTGGTCGGCCCCATGCTCTTCCGTCATTCGCCAGTCTTGGAGTCACATCGAAAGGCCCGCGGCGGAGGAGCAGGGAGAGAGGAATTGGGGAGCAGAGGCCTCCTAGATGGGGTCCGAATGGATGGGGTCGGAGGAGTGTACTGCATCGCCGACGCATCGCCCATGCATCGGCGATGCATCGGCGATACATCGGCGACACATCGGTGACGCATCGGCGACGTCGGCGTGGAGAAAACAGAACTCCACATCGAGCCGCATCGCGGATGCATCAGCGCTGCGACGGGACCCTTGGACCCCATCTGCTCGTCTGGGAAGCCTGGACGGAGGCAAACCTGCAGACAGCTGACTGCTCACCCATGGGGCTGGGCACACGTGCGTGCCCCCGCCTGCACAAGCGCACGCGGGGATCGTTGAGCAGGAGCCGACCGTCCCGGCCTGCCATGAGATGTTCTTAGCACCCAAAAGAACGAACACCATGTTCTTAGCACATAAACCCGATGTGTTAAAATAGAGAAGTCCCAGCCAGAAATGTGTCAAAACTAAGAACATTTCGTGCAAACCACCACAATATCTTAGAACATTCTTCGGTGGGCCTATAGGCGAGCCGGGACGCTTGGCCACTGCTTGAGATTGTGCGTTGGGAACGTACTGTCGTCGCGCTGCTAGGACGATCACCAACGAAGAACAAATGGGCTCTTCTGGCCCCGGCGGGGCCCCGGCCACGAACGGGTTCCCAGGCACAGATCCGCTCCGAGGCGGTTCCGAGTGACCACGGAGCTTCCCAAGAGAAGTCCTCCTGGAGGCCCCCCCAACAGAGCTCCAGAGGCGCCCAAGAGAGCTCCAAGAAGGGCTCCAGAGCGTCAGCGCCGCCGCCGCCGTGGAGGCCCAGGCGAGCGCGCGTCCACGGGCCCCCCCCCCAAAGAGAAAAGCCGGGAGCGGCACGGCGCTCGCACAGCCGCAGCCCCGCCGCGGGACAGCCCTCCCGAAGCGAGAGCGGACCTCAAAGACAGCAGCCTCGCGGAGAAGGGCAGCGGCGCAGCGGCGGCGCAGCGTCGACGCAGCGGCCCCGCCGTCGCCGTCGTCGTCCTCCTTGGAGGGTCGGCCGGGGGAGGAGCAGGAGGAGGAGGAGGAGGAGGAGGAGGAGGAGGAGGAGGAGGAGGAGGAGGAGGAGGAGGAGGAGGAGGAGGAGGGGGAGGGGGAGGAGGAGGAGGAGGCTCGCGAGGAGCCGCAGGGCCTTCGCAGGAAGGAGGCGAAGAGGCTCGCGTGGCCACGGCGAGCCCCGGCCACGAGCAAGCTCCCCCAACCTGAGCGGAAGGGGTGGCCCGGCAAGTGGGCCAACGTGGCCCATACTGCATCGTCTTGAGCGTAGGCTTAGGTCGGGCATGTCCTCCTGCAGGCGGATCTTCGACGAAGAATAAACATGGTCAGAAAAATTCAAAGATGATCCAAAAGCACTCGCGAAAATCCTCCCCATACTACTTTTGACTAGTTTTGAATTTTCTTCCTGTAGAGGGACAGGCCCGATTTAAGCGTAGGTCTGCATAACTACTTCCATCAGCAGGCAGGCAGGAGTGCACCCTGGAGACACACAGGCGTACACCACACAGGGCGTGCTCTCGCATGACCAGGTGTCCCCGTGCCCATGCGAATGAGTGCCAGCGCATCTTACGACACATGTGCAAACAAGAGCGTACGTGCACGGAAGCGTGCAAACAAGCAAATGTCTAGCACCCATACACGCGCGCACGTGCACGCAACATGAGAAATCGCAGGGGCGGCCATGGGGGCAAACACACACTGAAACGCGATCATACACTATGCGCACGGACAGATTTGCACGCGCGCCTAAAAATTCGAAATGATTGGACGTCGGGGGATCGCGAGGGCGCTTCTTTTTGAGTGAGCGCTGACAGCTGAACCCCTCGACTCTCGCCTCCTCCTGCTCCTCCCACTTTTTCCTCCTGCTCCCTCCTCCCTCTCGCTCTCCTGCCACCTCCGCCTCCGACTTCACTCTTGCGTCCTCCTCTTCTTCTTCCTCCTCCTCATCCTCCTCCCCCTCCTTTTCATCCTCAGCCTCCTCGAAAACAACCTGTGTAAGTATTTCCGCGATAGCGGCAATCACCGACCCCCCCCCCGGGTGACATCACGTTCCGCGCCGGCGGCGTCTGGGGATGCCTGAAAGTGACGGACGGGTAGGAGCAGCATGTCGGTGGCGATCTGCGCCACAGCGTTCGTGTACACCGCAGTGCTCGTGTGCACCACAGCGCGCGTGCACACCACACGCCTGTGTACAACGCAACAGCCACCACGTACAAAGCAACGCCTGTTGACACCACACTGTTTGCGTGCACCACAGCGCCTGTGTACACCACAGCGCCTGCGTACACCGCAGTAGCCGTCTGCACCACAGCGCCAATGTACACCACAGTGCCTGCGTGCACCGCAACACCTGTGTACACCACAGCGCCTGTGTACACCAAAGCATCCGCGTGAAACACAGCGCAGGTGCACACAACACTGCCTGCGTGCTCATGACAGGTAGGTGAGGATCTGCTGCGGACAGCTAGACACCACGCAAGAGTAGCACTGATAATATAATGCGATGTACGTCCCTCTTCCCTCCTCCTTTGTGTTCCTCCTCCTCCTCCTCCTCTTCTTCCTCCTTCTCCTCCCTCACCCTTCTCCCCCTGGTGCGGGTCGGCGCTGCAGCGCACGTGCGCATCTCAGTGTGCAACGCATAATGGGAGCGGGCAAGAGAAAGGCTAAGCACTCGTGCCATGAAGCGCCACGGTGCCATGCCACAGTGCCCAGCGGCGCAACCGAACTCCTTCAGGAGGACGCCGCCCCTGTCTCTATGCGCGTCCCGATTCACAAACCACAGCACCTCCTCCTCCTCCTCCTCCTCCTCATCCTTGGGAGGACTCGTAGATTCCAGAGGCGCTCCTATTTCCACAAGGATTCCTTTCCATATCCTGTACACAAGAACTGTTTCCCGTGGAATCCACAGGCGCTCCATTTTGACATAACGACTTCTTCTAAAATTCTATATACGTAGCACCCCGCAATTGCGGATAAGAGTGAGGGGGCGGGCGCGGGCGACGCGGGCGTCGTCGAGCCGGCGGACCTTGTGGCCCCCACCTTCCCTGTCGATGGCGCTGTCCTCCTCCTCCTCCTCCTCCTCCTCGTCCTCGTCCTCGTCCTCATCGTCATTGCCATCCTCCTCCTCCACCTCGTCCTCCTCCTCCTCCTCTTCTTCCTCGTCCTCCCTCTCCCCCCCTCGTCCTTTCATCATCGTCCTCCCATTGTCTTCCTCCCCCTCATCGGCTTCCATCATCGTCATCCCATTGTCGTCCATCATCATCATCATCACCATCATCATCATCATCATCATCATCATCATCGTCATCATCATCATCATCATCATCATCATCATCATCCCCCTCCTCCCCCTCCTCGTCCTCCTGCTCCTCCTCCTTTTCTTTCTCCACATTCTCCTTACATCCTCTCTTCTTCCGCGTTCTCCTCGTCCCCTGTTTACTCCTCCTGCCTCCCCCTCCTTTCCCAAGATAACT